CCGCCTCTGCCGCCGCCGTGGCCTCCTGGTTTTTCCGCACCGGTCGGTAAGACGGTGGCCCGCGCCGCAGGTCGTTCTTGAGAGTCCTAATGCGTTAGCTGGGAACGTTGGTTCTCATCCTGTACGTCTGGGTTTGATTTTAATAGGGAGTTTTGTAGAACTTGGACCCCAGGGATTGATTTCTGGAAGGAAAAAAAATGACTGGTGGGACTGATTCTGTATCAGTTACTTCCACTTATCTTGAAACGGGATAGCTGTTGATCTCCAGTTTCTGGTGGTCAGTTATCCAAAACTCGTGATTTTTTAAGTGACAATACTGTTGTGGATCGTTAGGGAGCGCGTTTGTTTTTGAATTGTACTTACGGTGATCTCCCTCCTGCAGGGCTTTACAGAACAGCAGTGGTTCCCAGACCGCGGTCTTCTCAAGGGAACAGAGCTGGCTTTACTCATCGCTGAATTACGTCTCTAGTAAATGTCTCTTTTTCTTTTTTCTTTCCTTCATTTTTTTAGTTTGTGGGCAGTTAATGGTTTACCAGTTTTTAACCAGCTTCAGCCAGCATCTCTTGCTACAGCACTGTGGATCTTAGATTAGGAGCCGTGGTAAATTCTGTCCCTGAAGTGGTGTTAGGACTGGTAACTCCTGTGGGTCAGATACAAGACCCTTGAGTATGACAGCTGTAAAATCTTTGGGATATGAGAAGCTCGGGTCTAGAATCTAAGGTGAGACAGGGTTTCACCTATCCTGGCCAAAGTGTGCTTTTTTCCCTTGGACAGCTAGTTCAGAAGTGGCTGAGATCCCTAGTTGTTCAACACCACCAGTGATAGAGAATAAAATCAGATGGACTAAATGGATAGAGGAAGAGGAAAGAAACTCCGTGTCTGTAGAAATGGAGGGCTTTCTGAGTTGGATATTGTAGAATATTCCATACCTGCTCTGTATCTGTTTATTGTAACAGCTGGTGGCCACAGGTTTTCATCATTTAATGGGAGGGACTCCTGGGCTGGGCACAGCTCCCTTTATGACAGGTTTGTTTGCCAGTACTAATTTTCTACTTAACGATGGTTGTTACTGAGCACTGGCTGGTATTTTGGGGTGTGAACCTGCAGAGGGGGATCTGTATGTTTATCTTGGCTTCAGTTGCTGCTAAATGCACAAAAAGCTTGAAAACTGCTCAGAAATATTAGTGAATAAGAACAGCTGCTCCAAGCTGTGCAATAATACTTTTTTTTTTTGAGATCCAAACAAAAAAAAAAAAAAAAAAAAGCTGCTCCTTCTCCAAATGCAATTGAAGGTATTGATGCTGACCTCTGCAGCCCTGCATAGTTAGTTTGCCCAAATTATCGCATTTACTCATAGCGGCCTTGGTTGATTAACCTGGCAGTGGAAAGCCAGTGGGATGCTTGATTTCCTTGTGTCTGCATTTCTGTGTCTTGTATGCAATAGCATTCATATTGGAGGACTCCAGACTTGGAAATTAATTTTCTCATTTAGTGAAAAACTTGGGTTGCATGAGTGCGTGCTGTAAGGTCTCTCTCTTGCCTAGATGGTTTCATAGAAGAATTTCTTTGATGTTGCACCCCAGGAGACTACGCATATATAAATGTTACAATATTTCAGGTTTTGATATAGGTCACTTAGAATAAACTCTGTGTCCTTGTATGTGTTAGTACGGCAAACTCACCTTTAGCTCTTACAATCACATAACGACATGCTTGTAGGTCTGACTGTCCAGTAGAAAAGCGATTTTCCTATTATGACCTGCAGAGTTGCTCTTGGGACCCCGTGGTGTGGATCCCAGATATGGGTGT